ACCATTCATAAAGTCAAATGAGACATCTTGACCTCCTCCCAAAGTGCTGAGATTATAGGTGTGAGCCACCTTGCTTGGCCATAATGTTTGCTTTTAACAGACTGTATTTCCCCTTAGTTTCCCACAGAGAAAATATGAGATGCTTAACATCCCAAATTTAAAGTTTTTCAGACTTGATGGAATTGATTTTCCCATAATTTCATTACTCCATAATCTTTTAGAACAGCTTTGAAGCAGAAAAAATTTGAGTTGCATGTGTTTTTACTCCATTTAAATAATTAAAGAATATCTTGTTTGGAATCTATGATTCTTAGTATAGGCAAATAAGCAATGGCAATGGAAATAAACTTGTAATTTCATTATGAGGTAGTGTCTTTGCTTTTGTAATTAGACAATGTGATAATGTTTTGTTAGTAGGTATATCCTTAGTAGTATTGGTAGCGTAATTTCTATGTGCATTATTAATAGAAATATTTAGAAGAAACATATCAGTGCTTTTTCTGGGCATTCTGTTTATTAAATGTGAACTTGTTGATATTCTTGGGACTCAAATGTCTCTGGTGGTAAGGAAATCATATTTTCTATTGTGTTGAAAGCTTGGTAGATGAAATGCCACTTCATGTGATTCCAAAAGTAGTGTAATGGCCCAGCTATTACTAAACTTATTGATGGCATTTTATTGCCTTCCTTTTTTTATTAGAGTATCTTAAAATAGAGGTGCCAAGATGTTAGTGATACTGTTTCACCTTGGTAGAACAAGGACCGGGGAATCTAGCTGTATTTGTTTCAAGTTGCTTCATAGACAGAGCTATATGCAGAAGAAAATAGTTAGAATTTTGTTAAATATGGAGATTTATTCTTCCCTGTTTCACTTTGGATTAATTTTATCCAAGCTTTTTCTGCTAAAGTTTGCTTTTTTAGCATCAGTTTCTGAATCTGGCGTATAGTGACCAGAGTAGAATTGTGTAGCTGGAATTAATGGAGAAGATGGAAGTGTGGCATTTCTTTATAATTTATTGGATTTCCCTTGCTTCCAAAGCTCTTTTCTGGTACTAAAGATTCCTTCTTTATTGCTTCTTGGGATGTTAGTATACATCTTTATGGTGGATTTTTCTTGATTGCTTTACTTATGTCTAAGGATTTATAAACGATAGGAGTAGGGCAGCACTTATATGTTCCATTTAAGGCTTTGTTTTTTCTCCTGTTTTTCTATTTTGATCTTAATCAGCAAACTTGTCAACCAAAACAATATTTGTATGAACCTGAGGGAAAATGACTGTAATTTTAACATTAATCATATGGACCAATGCTAACATGAGAATGATAAATATCAAAATTCTGATATTTGATAGGAATCTGCTGAATACTGCTAATGTTGCAGCGACACCTTTGGTCTTTAGAGAGAGAAGAGTTCTGATTAACTCTTCGGAGGGCAAAAAAAAAAAAAAAGCAACCTAATATTTGTCTCTTGAGGGAAAAGAAAAGTCCAGAATAAAACAGAATTGAATAAACAGCTTCTGAAATGTCTTAGTCTCTTTGGGCTGCTGTAACAAACGACCATAAACTGGGTGGCTTATTTATAAACAACAGAAATTTATTTCTCACAGTTCTGGAGGCTAGAAAGTTGTAGATCAAAGCACTGACAGATTTAGTGTCTGGTGAGGGTCTGCTTCCTGGTTTATAAGCTGTCTTCACATGGCAGATGGGGGCAAGGGAACTCTCTGAGGTCTCTTTTATAAAAGAGCGTTAATCTCATTCATAAGGACTTTACCTCCTAATACCATCACCTTGGAGGTTAGGATTTAATTTATGAATTTTTTTAAACGGGGACACACAAAGATTCAGCTCAGGCAGTAGTCCCCAACCTTTTTGGCACCAGGGACTGTTTTCGTAGGAGATAATTTTTCCATGGGCTAGGGAAGGGGGAATGGTTTCGGGATGATTCAAGTGCATTACATTTATTATGTACTTTATTTCTATTATTATTACATTGTAATATATAATGAAATAATTATACAACTCATAGTAGGTTGGGGATCCCTGGAAAATGTGAAAGCTTATTTGGGGTTGGAAACAATGGTAATTGAATTCTTGAAATGATTAATCAAGGCCTGCCCCTCTGGCTTTTAAATCACTTTCATTGTTGCTTAGCCGTTGATATGTTAGATGTCTTAAAGATTCAAACATGAATATTCAGTTCATATTGAAAATGAACTGAGTCTCTTTAATTTCTTTGTCTTATGCAGCTAATATTGATTGAGCATCAGCTGTGCTTAGTACATATATGATCATTTATAACCTTTTTAAGAGGTAGGTGCTACTCATGAATCTCCTGGTGATTGTATTCTTATCTCTTCGTCATTGGACAATACATCCTCATTTAGTTGAGGTTCCTAAGAGATAAGATACAAACTACAATAACCAAATGTATGCTAAGCTCTTCTTGGTTCAAACTCTATTTCAAATCCCTCTTTGATGTTCTGTTCTGGTAAGCTGAGCTAAACAATATAGAAACCTCAGAAACTTCTCCTTTTCTCCTCTTTCAGGAGCCAAAGCAGAGCAGAGCAAGACCTAGAGAGCTCTCCATTCTTCCTTTACTCTTTCTGCTTAGGCAAGCTCAGATCCTAAGGATGTCTCCCAAATAGGAGACAGCCCCAGCTCTATCTTACTCTGGACAAATACTTAAAGCAACATATGACATAGTTTCTAGGCCCCTTATCCTTGCTGTTATCTTCTGGGTATATCTCATTTTATGCCTTGTGAAATGCCACATCCAAAACTGAAACAGATATTCCAGATGTAGTCTTAGCATGCTCAGTTCAGAATGGATTCTTTTTATCTTTATTTTGGCTATTGTACATGTAATGTAGCCTAAGAATGCATTCATTTATGTTTATTTAATCAGCGGGTAGATTTTGTACTTAGTTGATTCAGAGAACATTCATTAAAAGTACATGCGTTAAGCACTAATTTTATATTAAGCCCTGAGTTAGGTGTTTTAAATATAAAGATGAATTAAGATGTGAATGTTCAGTTTCTGTGTAACCTGCTGACTTGGGCCTTTTTATTCTGGAGAATTGTTAAGGACATTTAAGAATGCTCCTAGTCACCTCAGAAATCATGATACCTGGTTTGTAGGAGACATTCAGCAAATGTTTATGGGATAAATAAGCACTGATACTCAAGTGGAAACACTTATGAAAAGAAATGGGTGATATCTTGAGAACTGTCTTGAGGAACCAAGGCATTCTGAAATGTTTAGCTGTAGATATATCAGTATAGCTAGCAAAATTCTAATCTACCTACAACTTTATCCTTTACAGATTGGATTTCTTTTCCTAAAATTATTGGTCAGGAGGGGACAAACAATATCTAAAATGCTAGGAGTCGGTCAAGGAATGTTAGAACCATTCATAAAGTCAAATGAGACATCTTGACCTAATAGATCTTTTCAAAGTGGATCCCTAAGCTATCTTTCTTTGTCTGATTTCAATAATGGGTTTATATTTTTTTGTTTACTTCATTTTCCTATGTCAAGTTTCAGAGTTCATAGCTAGTGATGGGAAGAAATTTTATAACTATTGTCATGGTGCAATTGTCCTATCTCCCCATTATTTTTTCATAGGAATGAAATTATGATGAGAGGCCTTACAAGGTGATATAATTGCCCACCTAAATTTCTCCTTTCCCTATATTTTTCAAATTGTCAAAATATGGTTCCCTCTTGCCACTATCCACATGCACACATGTACACATACACGCTCTTGCTTACTTCACATGGTTTCTTTATGTTTCATTTTCAGGGGGAACTTGCTCCATTTTCCAAGTACTCAAGAAGAAGAGGAGGAGAAAGAAAAATTGGATGGTGACCAAAGAATCAGGCAGAGTCAACAGCCTATGAAACCCATTAGTCCTGTTAAGGAGCCTGCTTCTCCTGCCTCCCAGCACATGGCCACACAGGAGCCATCCAGTCCTCAAGGAGAAGCAATGGAGACAGATGTGTTAGAAGGCCATAAAGAAAGACAGAATACCAATAAGGAAAAACCTAGTAAGGCCTTGATTGAAAGGCCCAGCCAAAATAACATAGGAATCCAAACTATGGAGCGTTCCTTATGGGTCCCAGAAACTGTTTCAGCAGCAACCCAGACTGTAAAGAATGTGTGTGAACAGGGGACCAGTACAGTGGATCAGAATTCTGGAAAACAAGATGCCACAGTTCAGACTGAGAGGGGGAGTGGTGAGAAACCAGTCAGTGCTCCTGGAGATGATACAGAGTCACTCCATAGCCAGGTGAGAGAACATATTGGGGTGCATCAGAGGCCCTGTTTTTGGCTCTCTGGGTTCTCAGAATTTAAGTTGTGGCACTTCTGCCTTCTACTTCTAACTTAACAGTTTTGTACAAAACAGTGGTTAAAAGACAAAAACAATTTTTCCAAGATAGAGATAGAGTAGTGAAAATTGTGAGTAGCTATAATCAATAGATAGTCTTTTACGGAAAATAGAATAGTGCTAGAGTTTGTCAAGTAGATCTTTACTGGAAAAGAAAGCCAGGGATACAGTCTAGATCTTACAATATTATTCTATGTTCAGTCTTTTCCTTCTCCATCATTTTTCATCTTCCTTTCTAGCTACCAAGCTAATTACTTCTCCCCTAAGTCTGTTTTGCCATGCTTCCCAGGAACTCAAAGAGTAGAAAGTAAAGGAGGAAGGAGAAGCATGAGGGATAGTGTATTTCAGTATTGGAAACAGAAAGAACAATAACAGGAATAAAAAGGTGGGGAAAAGTCCCCAGGTGACTAAGGACTGCAGAAGACAGGCTAAGAGTAGAGATAATGGAAGGACAAGGATTGGGGCTGATGAAAGTGAGGCTGGAGGAAGAATAGCTTCCTAGCAATAGGGTAGGGAAGTATTGGTGCCAGTAAAAATTGAGTAGGTAAGAGGATAAGAAGTGATAGTAGAAATGTATGTGTTAACAAATAAGTGGAAGTTCACAAAATTTTATCATGGGATCCATGGCAGAGAAAATTTGGAAGTTACTGTTACAGTAGTCTCCCCTCATCAGAGGTTTTACGTTTCATGGTTTCAATTACCTGCAGTCGACCACAGTTGATTCCAAAAATATTAAATGGGAAATTCTAGAAATAATTTGTAAGTTTTAAATTGCATGCTATTCTGACTAGCATGATGAAATCTCCTGCACTATTTGTAGGACATAAGTCAGTGCTAGTAGAAAAGCACATCAGCCTACTTTGATATTCCTTAAACTTCCATTTATGTGTCAAGTGGGCATGGAACCAGGTTTTCTATGAAGGCAAAGTGTGGTTTTATTTTTGTTTCCTTCCCTTAATAATGGTAAGAGTCTCAGGTTATTTATCTTCACAGAGACCTCTTTTCAGAAGACTATTTGAAGAGAGTAAGCATAGCTTTCTTTTTATCTGCCTCCTTTCCCTTTTCTCCTTTCTTACTCTGTCAAATATGTTTAAGTGTCTCTATTGAAGTGATCATGTGTATGGCTTTTGTAATTAGAAGAATATAGGGAAGCTTCTTGGCTGCATTTCAGGAATATGTAAAGCACTGAAATCTTTTAGACTGTGTGATGCAGAGATTGACCCTCTCTGTAGTGGAGAACAGTCAAACTGTGTGTGTATAGGCAGGAAGTCTAGGCTTACATGGTTCTGATGCATGGGCTCCCTGATGATTGAGGTGTGACAAACCTTTGCTCTAATCATTCATTAACCAGAGTTGTGTGTGTAGAAATATTTTAAAGAACTGGCTGAGTAAGATTCCATGCTTTTGATTTCATTTATATTTATTCACATAATTTACATATTTTCATTTTAGCCAATATTTCACTCTTTCCAGTTCCCAGGGTGGAATGGGGAATATTCAGGTAAATTATTGAAAGTTTTAGGTGAATTTAGGTAAATTACCACCACATTGTCAGGAAAAATGTAGAATTACCATTATTACATTGGTACATATAATTCTTTTTAAAGTCTTGGTTACTTCGATATTGAATGCTGAAAGTAAAATCAGCCTACCATGGGGAAAATAAGGTAGGACACAAAACTATATTTCCCCCTCAGAATTACAGAGCCAATAGAGTAGGGGATAGGAGAGTGAGGATGTAAGTAAATGTGATAATAGGTGTTATGAGAAAACATATTTCTTAAGAAATACAGAACTGAAATTCTAGCACTTGTTATCAGCCATAGGCAGGTCCTAGGCAATATAGGCTGGAAGGCTCAAAGAAAGGAATGATTAGAGGTAGTAAATAGGGCTTTTAAGACCTGATTTGCTGGCTGGGTGCAGTGGCTTATGCCTGTAATCCCAACACTTTGGGAGCCCAAGGCGGGAGGATAGCTTAAGGCCAGCAGTTCAAGACCAGCCTGGGCAACATAGAGAGACCCTGTCTCTACGAAAACATTTTTAGAAAACTAGCCAGGCATGATGGCATGTGACCAGCTACTCAGGAGGCTGAGGCAGGGGGATCCCTTGAGCCCAGGAGGTTCAAGGTTGCAGAGTGCCAGTGTACACCAGCAAAAAAAAAAAAAAAGAAGATCTAATTTGCTAACTAGTCATCTTTTAAAAATTATCCAGATCTTACTAAAGCATGTACTCAGGGGCTATTTGTAAATACAAAATTATGAACAAGAAATTATGAATCTGGGTGCTATTTTAGTTAAACCCAGTTGTTCATTTGAAGGTAGTCTTAATGTGTTGTGTTTCTGTAAATCAGAGATAGTACGTATGAATTTTTTCAGAAATATTGAATGAATTATACCTGTCCTGAATTTTCCAGCAATTATTTGTCTAATACAGTCAGTACCTGGCTCCCATAATTTGTTCAAAAAATATTTGCTTAATGTTTTTTGAGTGAAAGACGTTCAGTCTTCCTAAATAATATTATGTGACAGTTGTCATAAAAATGTAGGATCTTACTGAAGCCTACATTATTCTTTATAGTAGAACTAGCTACAAAATCTTAATTTAATGATGTTTTCTGCTACAGGACACTAGTTCTAACTAAATCTATTCTTTGGAATAGATTAAATATTTTACAATTCTAGAAAAATCAATGTACCTTGTTCCGGTAATAAATAAACTTTAGTTTTCACTTACTAATGCAGGAAAACAGACTGCACTGAGATTACACAAAACCAGAATAATACATCGGTTAAAGGACTAAAGAATGCCTTCTTTTTACCTAAAGAGCTTTTCAAAGTGTAAACTCATTTACTAATTGACAAGTCAGCATCAATTTCAGAAGGAATATAGTTTTAAAATAATGTACTTTTAGGTGTCAGAGGTTCACCTAAATATCCCTAGGTATAAGTGCTAGATGTTATGATTTTGATTTAGACAGAAATAGGTCATTTTAGGTCATACTTATACAAATTCCTCTTAGCCTCTGACTATACAGCTGATCTATCCCTGGTGTTATCCGTAATGGAAAACAAAATAGCTGGAAAATTCTATCACACTAGATTCAGGGAACCTCTAAATAACGCTCACTATGAAGAAGTTGATTTGTGATTTTGACAGTTTGCATTGAGACCTGTGCTTGTGTTCTGTATCTTCTGTCACAGGGAGAAGAAGAGTTTGATATGCCTCAGCCTCCACATGGCCATGTCTTGCATCGTCACATGAGAACGATCCGTGAAGTACGCACACTTGTCACTCGTGTCATCACAGATGTGTATTATGTGGATGGAACAGAAGTAGAAAGAAAAGTAACTGAGGTAATATATACCCTGGGTCTCTGTGGCAAGTTTCTTTCTGTAGAAAAATCATCTTGGCTTTCCACCCCATCCCCCATTCCCATGCAACTAGCTACTAACACTTTGTTTTCTTTCATCTTTTTAGTAGGAAAGATATAAGAACTGGGTTAGAAATTAGAGGTCCTACAACCTATGTCTTCCTCAACCATGGGCTTGCTGTTTGACATTTGGTTAGTTATTTTTAACCAGTCCCATTATGCTTTCTTTTCCGTAAAGAACAGATTGATAAATCTCTGTAAAATCTCTCTTATGTATAAATAGAAAGATTTTATGTATTTTTAAAAATCTTTGGAAACTCAAATGAAGTTTAGAACTCTGTTTAGCTACATATGTTTTCTCATTGTTTCTCATTGTTTTGTTTTGAGACAGAGTCTCACTGTGTTGCCCGGGCTAGAGTGCCGTGGTGTCATCCTAGCTCACAGCAACCTCAAACTCCTGGGCTCAAGCAATCCTCCTGCCTCAGCCTCCTGAGTAGCTGGGACTACAGGCATTCGCCACCATGCCCGGCTAATTTTTTCTATATATTTTTAGTTGTCCAATTAATTTCTTTCTAATTTTAGTAGAGACAGGGTCTCGCTCTTGCTCAGGCTGGTTTCGAACTCCTGAGCTCAAACAATCTGCCCGCCTCGGCCTCCCAGAGTGCTAGGATTACAGGCGTGAGCCACCGCGCCCGGCCTGTCACATATTTTTAGAACTCTGTTTAGCTACATATGTCTTCTCATTGTTTTGTCACATATTTTCATGTCTACTCATTGTGTTCTTTCTTTGTCTCATCCATGTGGGTGGTCATGGACCTGTTGGTAAGAGATGCACCTTTATTTTTTAGTGGGATTCATTATAAACTCATTTCCAATGTCAGCATTATATTGAAATTTATTGACTGTTTGTTATACAGTATAGTATAATACACTGACTTCGTTTAGATCGAATACAGGCTGAGATTAGACAGATTTTCTAGTATAAAAAATCTGGGGCTTTTGTTGGTACATATGTTAAGATCTAGAAAGCATTTTATTAATAAGAGGCACAGTTATTTTCTTCCTCCTTTTTTTTCTTCCTTCACCCACTTTCCTTTAAATCTGCCTGTTAGCCATGCAGGAAATCTCAGGGAGAGTTAAACTCTGGTATATAGTTTTATTAAATGGAACATGTTACTGCTGTTGTTCAATAATGGGCCGCTATGGCCCTTTTGTCAGATAACATTTGACATTAGTTTGAGAAACTGTTTTTTTTTTTTTCTTTATTTGTTGTATACCAAATCCCAGAAATATTTCTTTTAAAATACTGGTTCGTCTTCATTTTTTTGATGTTTTAAAAACATTTTTGTGGAATTTTTTTCATGTTATTTTTAGAAAAATTATGAAAACCAATTTGCCTTTATGAAAAATTTTTATAACTATTGTCCACATTGAACTTTGTGCAAGATATACTATATGAAGTATTATATATATTACTTCATTTAGTATTTTATATGGTGCTTTCTAAAGTATATTTCTGGAAACAGCAAGCCTGTTAGATAGTCTTGGGTGGGGGGAGTTCTGTGGTTATACGTCAGTTTGAGAAACACCAAATGCTGTATCATAGTCCATTTTCTGTTGCTGTAACTGAATACCTGAGACTGGGTAATTTATAAAGAAATGAAATTTCTTTTTTTTAAATTTTTATTTAGTTATTTATTTTTTGAGACAGAATCTGGCTTTGTCTGGGCTAGAGTGCTGTGGCCTCAGCCTAGCTCATAGCAACTTTAAACTCCTGGGCTCAAGCGATCCTCCTGCCTCAGCCTCCCCTGGGACTACAGGCGCACACCGCTATGCCTGGCTAATTTTTTCTATTTTTAGTAGAGATGGCTGCTTGCTCAGGCTGGTCTTGAACTCCTGACCTCAAGCGATCCTCCCGCCTCAGCCTTCCAGAGTGCTAGGATTACAGGCGTGAGCCATGGCAACCGGCCTAAGAAATTTATTTCTTAAACAGTTCTGGACGCTTAGAAGCCCAAAATTAAGGGGCTGCATCTGGTGAGGGCCTTCTTGCTGGTAGGGACTCTCTACAGAGTCTCAAGGCAGCACAGGGCATCACATGGCAGGGGGCTCATGAGAGAACCAAACTGGCTTTTATAACAGACACACTCTGGTGATGACAAGTGTACTCCTGTGATAACCCATTATTCCATCAGTTTGTTGATCCACCAATGGATTAATCCATTCATGTGACTCAATCACCTCTAAAACGTCCTACCTCTTATTACTGTTACAATGGAGATTAAGTTTCAACATGATTCGAGGGGACAAACCATAGCAATATACTGTTAACCATCATGCCCCTCCCCCACCATGGAAATTCACATATTACCATATTAAAGATTCTAAGTCCTTTAGTAAAGATACCTATTTTATTCTGTTTAACCTAGCACTGCCGAAACTTATTTGACCATTGAACATTTTTAAAAAGTAATACCTATTATACCCCTATGGAACATAGTTTGGGAAATGCTACCATGATAATATATAAAATAATAATAGTGACTACCATTTATTGAGTGGTTACTGTGTGCCAGGCATTATTCTAAGAACTTTAATAAATTAATTTAATCCTCAGAACCATGGTATGAGGTAGATATAGTTGCACATGTGCATATGCATATGCAAATGTGGAAACAGAGGCATAGCAAATTAAGATAAGCCACTGAGAATGATGACAGAAGCAGGGATAGGGGAGGGCAGGGTGGCTGTGAACCAAGAGCTAAGGTCTTCATGCATGAGAGAGAGTGATTGGGAGGATGTTGGTAGATAACAACAAGGGACGGGGAAAGGCAAATGTTGGTTTGGTAGGAGCCAGAGGTGGGGAGATAGAAATGGTTTGTAAATGGCCAACAAGGAGCAAGGAGGTCTATCATCTCAAAACTCTTGAATGGGGGTTTGGTGAAAGAAACCAGCCTCCGTTAGAGAGCTGTAGGGGATGTGAAATGCCTTAAGGATATCCAGGATTCCATTCATTGAAGGCAGAGACATGGAAAGAGGATCATATATTGAGTTTTGGATGTGTTGGGTTCAGGTGTCTGTGGTACATCCAAGGGAAAGAGTTTAGCAGGAATTGGTTATCTCTAAGTTTGGAGCTGAGTAACCATCATATTGGTGGTAGATAGGCAGGGATGAGTGTGGTGAGACTAGCCAAGGAGAGGATGTAAGAGTGAGAAAAGGAATGAGAACAGAGTCCTGGGAAATACCAATTTTAAAGGTACAGGCAGAAAAAGAGGAACTCAAAAAGAAACATAAATATAAGTAGCCAAAGAGGGAGAGTGAAAGGAAGAGAAAGAGATTTTATGGATTTTAAAGGAAGACAGATTTTCAAGAAGGGGAGAGGTACAAAATAATTATTTAATCATTTTATAGTATTATCTAAATATATATGTATGTGTGTGCATTGCATATTGTCTCCCCAGAGAGATTACAAACTCTTTAAGAGAAGAATCTATCTTATACTTTTCCATATCCTCTCTGACAATTTGCATAATATTGCATGAACATTCTAGACTAGGAAGGCAAATAGGTAGCACCCATGGTATAATTTCTCTATACTGTGCACATAGAGAACTTTGCTGACTGGTCCTAGAACCTTTCCCCACTAAACCTGGGATTTAGCCTCAGAAGCCTTTTTAAAACTGAACTCCAGGCAACCACTACCAATCCATCAGAGTGGGCATGTGAGATAAAGCCAGTTTGACCTTCTTGTGGTCAGTAGATACTGAAAACTCATATATACTTTGATATAACCTTTTAGTTCTTGTCTTCATTTTTCCAAATGGTAATATTACTTTTAGCCTATTTTTGCCTATACTTTACTATTTCCTCAATCACTTACTAAAAGGTATCTAAAGTAACTAATGTCGCACCACATGTACTCACCATCAAATTGGTATTAACTGATCAACACATAAGTGCACATAGAATGACATTTATTGAATGTCGGGCAGGGGGGAGGGGGAGGAGGGGACGGGTATATGCATATACAAAGAGTGCGATGTGCACCATCTGGGGGATGGACACGCTTGAAGCTCGGACTTGGGGGCAAGTGGGGGCAAGGGCAACATACATAACCTAAACATCTGTACCCCCATAATAAGCTGAAATAAAAAAAAAAATAACTAATGTCCTTAAACATGTCATGCTGCCCACTGTTAATGAAGTACCTAGAAGGGCGCCTGACCACTTATTTTGACCTTTCACCTACCTACCTCCTTACCTGTCTTCTCTCAGACAGGGAATTACCTCTCTGGTAGCCAAAGGTTGTGAACTTGTCCAATAAAAAGATAATTTAACTTACCTCAATATAGTGGTCTCTTTCTTCTCAGTCTAGTACCATCTTTATTTTTTATCGAGATATAATATATTCCCAATAGAATGAACAGATCTTAAATGTTCAGTCTAGTGGCTTTTGACAATTTTATTTAACCATTTCTCAAAACAAATATAATAGAGCATTTCTATTATTCCAAAAAGTTTCCCCCTGATGACTACCTTTCTGAATTGAAATGTCTTGCCATCTCTGGGATTTTCCAACCTTCACAGTAGCATGATGTTATTGTGGCTTCTTTTAGCTTTTTCTGCATTTCTTCCTTGCAGGAGACTGAAGAGCCAGTCGTAGAGTGTCAGGAGTGTGAAACTGAAGTTTCTCCTTCGCAGACTGGGGGCTCCTCAGGTGACCTGGGGGATATCAGCTCCTTCTCCTCCAAGGCATCAAGCTTACACCGCACGTCAAGTGGGACGAGTCTCTCAGCCATGCACAGCAGTGGCAGCTCAGGAAGAGGAGCCGGACCACTCAAAGGGAAAACCAGCGGGACAGAACCCGCAGATTTTGCCTTACCCAGCTCCCGAGGAGGCCCAGGAAAACTGAGGTGCAGACAGGGTCTCCAGAGAGAGAGCCACAGCAGGGGCAGGGTTGCTGACATTTAATATGACAGGAAAAGGGGAGTAATGGGAAATTCCCCATCCTTGATCTGGGATAAATCAACTCCTCTTCCTCCCCATTTGTTCCTCTTCTGTATTAGGTTCACGTGGGAAGTAGGGTAGAGGCCTGTGGGAGGTAGACTTTGTTGACAAGCCCCTGAGAAAATGCAGAAAAACAGGCGAGGGGACTTTGGGAATGCTGGGCACATGCTCCTACCACCCCTATATTCTGCATCCTACACGTTTTTAGTTGGGAATACAGGAAGTTTGGAGTAGTGGCCCCAATTTGATGTATCCCCTAGCTTTTTGTTATCCTTTGCAGATTTCCAGAGCCTAAAGTAGAGAAGGCAGGGCAGAAATGGGTGTGCTGTTTCAGAGGGCAGCAGTAGGAAGCGTTGTCAGGGGGAACAGACTTATACAGAGGAGGATGTCCTTTATGTATTATCCCACACTCCCCACTCCCTGGTTGAGATTTTCGTGGTGGGTGTGTGAACCAGCTTCCTACTGCCCTGGAAGCCCAGCACATGTAGGCCTGGCTTGTAGTCTGGAGGGCCAAGGGGAGACTGTGAAGAAAGGATTCAGTAGCAGGTGCTGTCAGACTAACCTATCTTCATTCTCTAGTCCTAGAAAAGGGGTCAGTCAGACAGTGTGTGAGGAGGATGGTGATGCAGGCCTTGGCATCAGACAGGGAGGGAAGGCTCCAGTCACACCTCGTGGGCGCGGGCGAAGGGGCCGCCCGCCTTCTCGGACCACTGGAACCAGGTACCCGGGTAGTGTGAGATATACTTAGTCTATCGTTCAGGAAAAAAAAGGGACTAGAGAGAAGCGAGGGGAATAGAGAGTATGTGGGGTGTCAGGAGGGATAAGAGGGGCCCACACTGACTGGGGAGTGGGCAGGGATCAGAGTAAGGCCACTGAGAGACCAGGCTCGTGCCTGTGATGGGGTTATCGAAGAATGGGCTAAAGAGACCCATGGACAAAGGAGTGGGGAAGTTGGTAGATATGTACTTCTACCTTCTTATTCTCACTGCCTTCTCCTATCTCTTATCTCTCTTTAGAGAAACAGCAGTGCCTGGCCCCTTGGGCATAGAGGACATTTCACCTAGCATGTCACCAGATGATAAATCCTTCACCCATATCGTGCCCCGAATGCCAGACTCCACCAAACGAGCAGACATGGGTGCTGGTGCTTTGCGTCGTAGTGACTCTCCAGAAATTCCTTTCCAGGCTTCTGCTGGCCCCTCTGATGGCCTAGATGCCTCCTCTCCAGGGAACAGCTTTGTAGGGCTCCGGGTTGTAGCCAAGTGGTCATCGAATGGCTATTTTTACTCTGGGAAAATCACACGAGATGTTGGAGCTGGGAAGTATAAATTGCTCTTTGATGATGGGTACGAGTGTGATGTGTTGGGCAAAGACATTCTTTTGTGTGACCCCATCCCGCTGGATACTGAAGTGACAGCCCTCTCGGAGGATGAGTATTTCAGTGCAGGTAATAAAAGAAGCAGAGTCTATAGAGATTTTCTGTGCCCTGGGGCAATACTCTTATTATGTCAATAATTACCAAGACATTCACTTCATCCCGATTACTTTTCTGAGGCTTCTAAAGTTAGAAATTCCATTCTTGCCATACTGGTTTCTCTTGCCACTGGCTTTTTATTTGTTCGTTTGTTTTCAAATAAACTTATTTTGGAATAATTTTAGATTCAGAAAATTTGCCAAGTACAGAGTGCTGCTTGTACATGGAGTTCCCATATTCCCCTCACCACCCTCCGTATTGTTGACATATTAGCATGGTACATTTGTCAAAACTAAAAAAACTAACCTTCGTTCATTACTATTAACAAAACTCCAGGCTTTATTTGGATTTCATCAGCTTTTCCATAATGTCCTTTTTCTGTTCTAGGATCCAATCCAGGATACCACATTGCATTTACTCATCACGTGTCCTTTGGTCTTCTCTGATTTGTGACAATTCCTCAGTCTTTTGTTTTTCATGACCTCAAAATTTTGAGGAGTACTGGTCAGGTATTTTGTAGACTGTCCTTCAATTTGAGTTTGTCTGATGTTTTCTCATTAGACTGGAGTTAAGAATTTTTTTAAAAGGATGCCACAGAGGTGAATTGCCTTTCTCATCATATCATATAAGGGCGGGGTGAGGTATTTAATGTCCACACGACATCACTGGTGATATTAATCTTCATCACTGGTTAAGGTTACATTTTCCAGCTTTCTCCACTTTAAAGTTAGTGATTTTCCCATTCCATACCCCATTCTTTCACCATTGGCTTTTGAACCTAACTATCTCCTTTCTTGGGAACCCAGAAGGTGAGTATGGCAGATATATTAAGATATTTTTGCTTAGGAAGAAGTTGTTAGTGCTGTGTTTGTATGCCTGCACATCCACCACTTATTTTCTGGTTTAAACAATGGTGCCTTTTTTATTTTTGATGTAGCCGGTATTGGTGATGGTGAGAGATTTGTGTTTGTCATTACTGTTTCATGTGCTAGTTGTTTGAATATGTTGTGTCATCTCTATGAACTAATTTGAAGACACCTATCTGTGTTGAGTTTGTCATTTAAAAACATCCTTCCTGGGGATGTTTTTGAACATGGATTGGGATACAGTGGGCAAAGTGCCTTTCTATTAAAGTCTCTCCAGGCTGCCTTATATTTGGAATTCCCTGAGTAGTTGCTGTTTGCCCCTTCATTTCAGTGTGAAATGGGCCGACCACTTTACCTTCTAGTTCTGGATAACATCATTAGCTATATTCGGCATTGGTTAGGAGTAGCACATGGATTGGGTCTTTTATGACTTGCGACTCATAGTTTGTGTGTATCAAATGCATTCATTCTCCTTTCAGGTGTAAAACCACTTTTGGAGGTCCACATTTGGCCCTTTTAAGACAAAGATAGTCAATTCTGTATCTAGAGTAAATCATGGCATCAAGGAGTAGGGATTCTGTATCCAGTTTATTGAGGCTATCTACTAATGTCAACACTAGACTGCTTCTAGTTCTAGTAGCTCTTCATTAGTGTAAAGTGCATTGTTGGCCTCAGGCTTCTTTGTGCTTTTGAGGTAGTCTTTGTGATTTAGTTTGGTAATAGAGATTTAAGCTAGGAGATGAACGAGCAAGGGCAAAGAGAGTGATTCTGCGGCATAGATAAAGAGAGAACCAAGGTTTGCTTTTGCCTCTATATTCTTTTGCTTGTGTGGGATAGGCTCTGAGTTTCTTTTAGCTCTTCACTCAGGCACAGGCTAATGGGAGAGAATGAGAAACGGACCCTTCTGTTTATAGGAATGAAAAAGTATTCATAGTAATGCTTTATTTTTATATGGTATATGTGGGGGGGGTGTGTTTATATCTGTATAGTGTGTGTTTATTGTTTATTGATTTATAGAGGGGAAACTGTTCTCTTTCACAGGATTGAAAATGAGTCTTGCCCAAGATCACACAGCTTGGTGGTAGCAGAATTAGGTCTAGGCTCAGGTCTTCTGAATTCTGACCTAGTTTCTATTTATACCCTAACTTGTGTTTCTTCTTACCCAAAGGCCTTAGCCTCAGGTTCTGAATCATAGCAAGAGTAGGAAAGTACCTAATCAAGAGGGAAGATTAGGCAGGAGAAGCAGGATCTATTTTTTTTCCTTTCTTTGTTCCGTATCTCTATTTTTTTTTTTTTTAGAGACAGGCTCTCGCTCTGTCACCCAGGCTGGAGTACAGTGGCATTGAACCTAGCTTACTGCAGCCTTGAATTCCTGGGCTCAAACAAAGCAATCCTCCTGCCTTAGCCTCCCAAGTAGCTAGGACTACAGGCACATACCACCATGCTTGGCTATTTTTAAATTTTTTGTAGAGATGGGTACTTGCTATGCTGCTCGGGCTGGTCTGGAACTCCTGGCCTGAAGCAGTCCTCCCACTTCAACCCTACAAAGTGTTGGGATTACAGGGGCGAGCCATCGCATCTGGCAATATTTCTCTTCTTAATTTTGCTACATATACAAACACAAACACACATAGTATGCTCTTTCTTAGAATATCATTTTTCACCTACTGCTTAACTCAAAACTTTTCACTCAGCCTCCAACGGAACCAAGAAGAAAAGGTTTAGTAAGTTATAATGGAATTGTTAAGAAATTACCTGCCATTTCACTTCAAAGGAACCATCTGAACTACCAACACATAAAGGCTGTCTTTGGGAGGCTTTATTTTATAACTGAAGGCCTCCTTGTGTCAAGAAACTTTCCCAGTGTAGTAGCTACATCAGTCCTAAGTATTGTTACTGTTTGAGTTGACAGCTAGAAATTTAAGTCCTAACTTCAGTCTACTATTGGATCTCTAAATTCTCCTAGTCAAGCCTGCTTTCCAGAGCCCTGTGAGAAGGTGTTAAACAGCCTAAAACAAAGGTAAGCTGCTTTTATGTTTTTCCCCTCAGGAGTGGTGAAAGGGCATAGGAAGGAGTCTGGAGAACTGTACTATAGCATTGAAAAAGAAGGTCAAAGGAAGTGGTATAAGCGAATGGCTGTCATCCTGTCCTTGGAGCAAGGAAACAGACTGAGAGAGCAGTATGGGCTTGGCCCATATGAGGCAGTAACGCCCCTCACAAAGGCAGCAGATATCAGCTTAGGTAAGACCTTTGCTTCCTGAACTGCTTTTGGGTTCCTGTTTTGCCTACAGTGGGAGGAGTGGTTTTTGGAGCAATCAGTAATGTTTCCCTAACTCTTACTATTCGTATATGTGGCTTATCAGATGATGATGAGCTGTCATTTTTTAGAGCTACGGCCTTATCTGTTTCCTTCATAGTACCAAACAAAAAGTCCTTAGGGTTTTTCTGGCTTCTGCAGTTCTATATGGGACTAAACACATTTCAGTCATGGCAAAGACTAGAAGAGAAAATAAGGCCTTAAAAAGAGGCTTCTTGCCCTCATGGGAAGTAGGGGAAAGGGCACTGTGGTATCTGAATTGGGCTCTGCTCTGCTTCTTAGAGTTCAGAGCCTCAGACCATGAGATTTGACCACTTTTTGATTTAACCTACTATAGACAATTTGGTGGAAGGGAAGCGGAAGCGGCGCAGTAACATCAGCTCCCCGGCCACCCCCACTGCCTCCAGTAGCAGCAGCACAACCCCTACCCGTAAAATCACAGAAAGTCCTCGTGCCTCCATGGGAGTTCTTTCAGGCAAAAGAAAACTTACCACTTCTGAGGAGGAAAGGTCCCCTGCCAAGCGAGGCCGCAAGTCTGCTGCTGTGAAACCTGGTGAGTGCTCCCTTCTGCCTCATCTCCCTCAGACCACAGCAGAATGCAGGGTGACCTGCTGGAGAGATGGCAGCAATGGCCCCTCTCTCCTGGCTACCAAGTTGGGGTCCCACACAAGCCCATAGGTGATACTCAGAGACAGCTTACTGCATCCCTTCTCCCCTAGTCCTCTCAGCAGAGTCTAGTGGGGATAGATAGGAGAGCTAGGACTTGATCATAAACATTTGTTGACTCCTGTGTAGGATCTAGGAGGGAAAGAAGTGTTGAATTTTAAGCATATTAAGTAGGTGAAATTTCTGTTGGATCTCTTTCTTTGCCTGCACCATATTCTGCTTCCTGGAAACTGCTCCCCTCTCCCTTATGCTTGGGGCCCTCTGGCTTTCTCAAACTTCCTACTGAAAGGTTGTATCTCAGCGTGCATCTACCATCTTCTCACTGTCCCCCAGACAAGCCCTTTCCAGTCCTTTATTTATGTTCTGTATTAAGAGTTCAGTCCATTTTGTTCATTGAGTCTCTACAATGACCCAGACTCAGCTGCCATATCGGTTCTGGAGATAGAGAGGTAAAGTCAGTCTCTGCCCTGATGGAACTTTCTCAGGCCATGGAACTAATGGAATTCCATTGGATACATTGTTCTGGCACCAGAGCTCCTTTTCTTTCCTTTGTATTTGATTTGTGTCATATCCTTATCTACTCAATACTGCTGCTGTGTTTCAAGGTATTTAAAAACAATAGCTAACCTTCATTGAATGTGTACTCTGTGAGGCATGGAGCTAAGTGCTTCACACACATTACCTCACATACAATCCCTATGAAATATAGGTGCTAAAATTCGTTTTCTAGTTGAAGAATCTGAGGCACAGAAAAGTTGGCTAACTTTCCCAAGGTGACAACATAAACTGGGATTCAGACTCAGGCAGTCTCGACTTCTGGTCCAGCCTTGTACGTATTACATCATATTGCCTCTGAGACTGTTCTCTTGCTGCTGGTTTTATTTTAGGGAGGCATGCATGACCTGTCTGTCATCTTAGCCTCCTAATGAACCTACGATTCAGCGTCTCCAGGTCAGGTATTCATTTTCTTCTCGAGGACTTATTGGCGCACTCTTAGCATGGGTGTTCTGGGAGTCCTGGGCTGGCTGGTTCACTTACCTACCCAGGTGCTGGAAACTGGGACAGTTAAGGCAGGCTATTATGATGTGGCTCCACCTACGTGTAAAAACAGTTTATTATCAAGTATTGTCTGCACCATTCTGGTGAGAGTCAGAGATGGGGTGGGAGGATCTGCTGGTGAAATTTCTTGGTAATAACAAGGTGTTTTTTGTTTGTTTAAAGGCTGCTTCAAAATAATCACATATCCTGGGGGAAATCAGAGCACTGGGCAAAGAAAGTGGGCTGAAGATTTCCAAACATTTTTCACTCCTACCTACTCTTTGTTTATTAGAACTACCTTTTAAGATAACCTCAGAAGTATTTCGTGTGGCTGTATAAAAACAATACTTTCATTATGAAAAACACTATATACATTGTCATGACTGTGTAAAATTTAAACATGTAAATTTCTCATTATAAATTTGGTTGCTCCTAGGTTGTTGGCCATTTAGAATGTTGGCTGTAGGAATGGTCTTTGGTTCATAGCTCAGAAAAGTTATCAGAACATTGCCCACCATCAGGTCATGCTTGGTGCTAGAGCCTGTTGGTGCTGGGGCTTTTGCTTAGGCAATCGTCTGTCTCCCTCTAGTAACTGTGCCTCTATCCTTTCCAGGTGCAGTGGGGGCAGGAGAGTTTGTGAGCCCCTGTGAGAGTGGAGACAACACAGGTGAACCCTCTGCCCTGGAAGAGCAGAGAGGGCCTCTGCCTCTCAACAAGACATTGTTTCTGGGCTATGCCTTTCTCCTCACCATGGCCACAAGCAGTGACAAGTTAGCCAGCCGCTCCAAACTACCAGATGGTCCTACAGGAAGCAGTGAAGAAGAGGAAGGTAAGGCCTTAGGAAAACCTTAGGGCTCTGACATGTGCACTTCCTTCCTTTCCAGTCACTTAGGAGCTGGTGGTCCCCCTGCCACATGTAGAGGAGGCAGGACAAGTGGCAACTGGGATCTTGGTCGGGGAAGTGAAAATTAATCTGTACCCTACTTTTTGGTTTATAGACTGTTTTCACAAAATTCCTCTCAGTGAGTGGTTCCTCAACAATCCTGTGAGGCAGATAGGGTACAGATCTTATCCATTTTATAGATGAGGAAATAAGCTTGGAGAGGTTAATAATTGCTTTTTGTCCACAATAATGGCAAACTGGGAACTAGAGCCCCAGTGTTCATTTGACCTTACTATAGCTATCCAAGTTAATCAGCTTTCTGAATGCCCTGCCATCTTCCCCATTTGTGTTCTAGGGACAGCTGCTCATGCAAACCCACGGGCAGGGTGAGGTTCATTCTCTTGAGGTCTGAGTGTCAGATGGGAATGTCGGGTGCCCAGTGCCCCAGGGCGATTTGAGAGAAAGCTTCTTGGCCTTTTCAACTCATATACCTGTCAAACTAAATCTATATGTTGCATTTCTGTGTTGTCTGTTACTCAGTGTTTGAGTAAAGGCTGCAGTAAGGAGAGAGAGGTCTGAGAAGTGTGTGATCTAGGAGAGTAAGCAAATACAAATGTATACACCATAAGTGACTAACAGCAGTAGCCAAATGTGTCTATCAAGGCTAAAGATCCGGATGGAATGTTCTACAAGTTAGACTCCTAACATTGAGTCTTGCAAGAAGGAATTGAATTAGGGAATCTGGTTGTCATAAAGTAGCACCACTGAAGATCTGTGATGGTTGCCATTTCAAGTGTGTGGATGACTCTTTCCTAATTAACCAAAACTGTATCTCACCAACTGCAGCTACATGGAGATATGTGCAAGGACATGGGTAGGATGACCAGGGAGTTGCAGTTAAGGTTTATGTTACTCGGAAGGTACATAAAGAAAAAGTTACGGCCGGGAGCGGTGGCTCATGCCTGTAATCCTAGCACTCTGGGAGGCCGAGGTGGGAGGATTGTTTGAGCTTGGGAGTTCGAGACCAGCCTGAGCAAGAGCGAGACCCCGTCTCTATTAAAAAAATAGAAAGAAATCAGCTGGACAACTAAAATGTACATACAAAAAAAAAAATTAGCCATGCATGGTAGTGCATGCCTGTAGTCCCAGCTACTTGGGAGGCTGAGGCAGTAGGATTGCTTGAGCCCAGGAGTTTGAGGTTGCTGTGAGCGAGGCTGATGCCACGGCACTCTAGCCGGGGCAACAGAGTGAGACTCTGTTTCAAAAAAGAAAAAAAAAAGAAAAAGTTATGAGTTGAGAGGCTCTGGCACCGGGAGTCAGGCTATAGGAACAGGTGTGGTGTGGTAGGCTTTCCATAGTTTGTCAGACAATTCATATAGGTACAATGGGAGATAAATAAGGTATGTGAGGAGTTTCCTAGACAGGAATTTAGTTTTACTTTTATCATAAATAATTGGGAGTCTTTTGAGGATTGATTTTGCGTAGAGATTATGTCATGGCATTAAAATAATGTTCTTGGTTTTTATTCTCTAACAAATTCTTAGCCTTTCCCTAAACCAGAAGTCTATGGATGTTCTATTTGTTGCTTGGTATGCCATAATCAAGAAAGCTGACTGGTATGAGACACAGGCTGTCCAATTCCTTAAAAATCTTTGTGCCTCTGTGAGACCTAATAAACTCATAAAAATTAAATGAGGAGGCATTTGGACAGTACTTTTAGAGGGATCTCCAGGTTTCTAATAGAAAGTATGGTTATGGTGAATGTATCTGTTCTATTTTGGCTCTTTCATCCTTGGACTCCTGCCCCAACAGCACTAGAATCCTTTGGATTTTTGAAATATGAAAGAAGTTTCTCAGTCTCAAGAAGGCTGAAGACATCTGTACTGAAACAGTTCTCTGCAGAATTAATTTTCAAGAAGCTATGAATAGGTGTTATAGATAAATGGGAATTCTTAGATGCTAGCTTATAATACGAGTCAGTAAAATATTTAAATCCATGTTATGAGACATATTTATTAATGAGTTGAGAATATGGCACTCAGTTTTTTTAGGTAGCACACAATCAGGGACCCCCTCAGACACAGGATTGACACAGGGTTTATTTAGTACACACCTTCATACTTGATTTAGATGGTAAAATTAACAACCTATTCATTTTCACCTCTGGTTGGGCAGGGCACTCATAGCCCAAAAATAAAGAAAACTGAATCCAAACTCATTGAGGAAAATTAGAGAAATGGACTGCCTAGACAGGGTAATGCTTGATTACACAAATGCAAAGAAATATAATTGGGGATTAAAATCTAAACAGGTCAGTCCTGGATTAAGCAGACATAAAACAAAGGACTATGAAGGGTGACAGCAGGGATTCAGCAGTAGAGTCTTGGTGCTGAAGACTGTGATGTGATCTGTTGAGATAGCAGGATGCTGGGACCAAGCCGAGAAATAGCCCTGCTATATTCTGAGTTTCTTAGAACGATTTTGAGTTTCTAGTTTAGGTTTTCATTTTGAGAAGAGAATGTTGGATCAAGAAAAGAACAATAAAAGTCAATAGGCTGGCTAATCAGAATGAAACCAAGATGTAGAGCCCTGGCATGGGGCATCAGCATACCACCTGAGCTGCTCCAGCAGGCAGGGAGGGCACCATAGGGGGAGCCATCTCTGCAAGGGGTCTGTTCCACCAAGTCTTACCACTGGGTATGAAGGAGAAGAGGAGTGGTCATGGTATTGAACCTTATGCATTGGGTTGAATTTTTTATTTGTGATATAAATTTCAGTTACTTAGAACTTAATTTCCCAGAACTCCTAATTAACTAAAATCTCTAATGTATTTTCTTTTCTTTTTTTTAATGTGTTATTTATATATGAGAGGAGCAGATGACAAGAAAACAAGGTCAAATTAGATATTTGGTCAAAAGAAGCAATTTCTAATTGCCTAGGGTCATTACAGCTTCAGCCTCATCTCTCATATCTTCTACTTCACCCTCAAGACTGTAGAGCAGTCATTGATGTTCAGTGTCCTGAGGTACTTCAAGATCATCAAAGGTAGTTTTCAATAAAAAGGTTGAAACAGGAATTCCTCATCTTCACTTAATCAGTTAAATTTTAAAAACTATCTTTGAGCATTCTGGTTTATCAAAATTTTAGTGTACAAGGGGGTAAAAAGGCTGATGAAGTAGGAATTTGAAGACTTCATTATAAAAAGTGCTCATCGGCTATTCTTCGTCTCCACAGAAGGCAGAACTAGAGGAAATGGGTTTAGTTTGCAGCAGGAAAGATTTAGGACAGACTTAAGGAGAACTTCCTGATGGTAAGGGTTATTCAAATTGGAATATGTAACTGTGGGAAATGGTTGCATGTCCATGCCAAAGAACAGTCCCGTGACACAGTCTTAGTGCAGGAAACTTTGATGTTTTTAGGTCTGGGACGTACCTCCATTCCTCATCTTCCCAGTCCCTCCTACTCTTGTCCCTTCTTTTGGCAGTATTTTATAGGCCTCAAGACTAGATCTCTTTCTGAGCCATGGGGAAGCCCTTGACCTGTCTTTGGGGACACACTGCTGTGGAGATAGCTGGGGCGGTAAAAAGCAGGCATAAAGTAGCAAATAAGAAAACAACCACTCAGTAATTATTGATGATCTTGGTTATGTTTTTTTATATAGAATTTTTAGAAATTCCTCCTTTCAACAAGCAGTACACAGAATCCCAGCTTCGGGCAGGAGCTGGCTATATCCTCGAAGATTTCAATGAAGCCCAGGTGAGGAGTTTGTGTAGCTTCCCAGAGTGGCAATGATGCAAGCCCACTGGCTGTATAAGAAGAGGCCGGAAAGGGGTTGGGGAGGTTGGATAAAGTAGCCAAAGATTTCAGGAACTGGGAAACTGCCAAAATGTTGTTGCATAAGATAGAATTTTTATTGTGTACAATGAAGAGAGGTTAGAACTTTAAGTTAGTTTATGGCTGTGGGTTTGTTGTTGAGACAAAAGCAAATTGAAATTTGTGTTTAGTAGAAATCCCTACTAGTGTTTTTGATTCTAGGCCTAAAAGGCTCAGTACTTACATAGGTTTAGTTGTCCTTTGAGGATCTACGCTCTCAGAAAGCTGCAGGTGAGGTAGGGAGAACATCGATGGAAGCAAGCCATTTGGGCCTTTCAGTGAGAAAAATGGCCTTGGGCAGATGGACATACTAAATCGTATTTTGGATAGTATTTGGAAATCTTCAGATTTGCTCTTCATGGCTTATTAGGGTTGCTATTCAGGAGCTTGCCACAAGTCACCCATTTGGCTCTGTTACTTTTCTTCCAGTGTAACACGGCCTACCAATGTCTCCTAATTGCGGATCAGCATTGTCGAACCCGGAAGTATTTCCTGTGCCTTGCCAGTGGGATTCCTTGTGTTTCTCATGTCTGGGTTCATGACAGTTGCCATGCCAACCAGCTCCAGAACTACCGTAATTATCTGTTGCCAGCTGGGTACAGCCTTGAGGAGCAAAGAATTCTGGACTGGTGAGTATTTGAGAACCCGTCTACAACCGTATAGACAGGAAAGACAGCAAGCTTTTGGAGGAAGGAGAATCCAGGTGAGAGAGTAAATAAATATTTCTGGAAACTGGAATGTCTGTGGGATAAATTATAGAATTTGGGTTTGAAATGATTTTAGTAGTTCATATAATTTATTTCCACAGGCTATGTTGCCTAAGAACTTTTTTGAAAATGTGTGAGGATTTGTATGTAGGATCAATATTCTCAACCTGTAAGGTTAGGGAACTAAGTTTTAAGAAAGCCATTTAAAAAATATAGGCTCAGGAACAGGATTTGGATTATTTCCAAGTCTGGGACAAACAAGGAAATCAGAAGGGTAGGATCAGAAAGCCAGGATTCCAGAGAATACACATTCACAGAAAGAGGGCGACCCTGATACAGGGCTAGGTTTTGAAAGCATTCAGATGTGCATGAGTCCCTTTGCAGAAGGGCTATTTTTTGGATATTGTCTGTCATGCTAAGGTCTCTTCTAATTCCAAAGGGCTGTGTCTCTGACTCTTATAGGCAACCCCGTGAAAACCCCTTCCAGAATCTGAAGGTACTCTTGGTATCAGACCAACAGCAGAACTTCCTAGAGCTCTGGTCTGAAATCCTCATGACTGGGGGGGCAGCCTCCGTGAAGCAGCACCATTCAAGTGCCCATAACAAAGGTACCTAGAAAGTGTGTGTGTTGTCATTGTTTCAAGGACCCATAGCTGTTAGGCCTTGTGGTCCAAGTCTCAGTCCTGATAGGTTGACCACATCCATGTTTTTGAGAGAAGAAAAGTACTACCTTCAAGAGGTGAGTCAATGTAAGTGAAGCACTGGGCTGTCTATGCCTCTATAGTATTTCCTGTGGCATATCTGTTAAACATTTCTACAAGGTCAGCATATGGTGATTATAACTGTTTACTTTCGGTCATGATCAGTAGCCCTGTGTTTGACATAACAGGGTTGTAAGTTTGGGCACAGTGGATGTATTGGCTAAAAGACCTATCTGTCTTTTTAACAGAGGGCTAATTAATTTGAGTGTCCTTTTCCTCTTTCACTTTCTCCTGCTCCTTACAGATATTGCTTTAGGGGTATTTGACGTGGTGGTGACGGACCCCTCGTGCCCAGCCTCAGTGTTGAAGTGTGCTGAAGCACTGCAGTTGCCTGTGGTGTCACAAGAGTGGGTGATCCAGTGCCTCATTGTTGGGGAGAGAATTGGATTCCAGAAGCATCCAAAATATAAACATGATTATGTTTCTCACTAAAGATACTTGGTCTTACCAGTTTTATTCACTGCTATTGTGGAGATTGTGTTTTAACCAGGTTTTAAATGTGTCTTGTGTGTAACTGGATTCCTTGCATGGATCTTGTATATAGTTTTATTTGCTGGACTTTTATGATAAAATAAATGTTGAATCTCTTTGGTTGTAGTAACTGGGATTTCTTCATCTGTTTCTTTGTATTTAATCTCAGAACAAATGACAAGGCAAACAACCTTCTCTGAGGCTTTCAATAGGCTTGTTCACTTTAGGAAGACAACTAGCCAAGGAAAATAAAAAGAGGAAACTTTATTCTTTGGCGTCATTGTCAAAGGTTGTCCCAGGCTGTCTAAAATGCTATGCTTCCAAAACCTTGATTTTAAAGTAGGTAAGGGCCCAGATTAATAATTGTGCCAAAAGTTAAGTGGAATTGGGCACTGCTCTACGTTTCCTGACAGTTATAAAAAGATGTCTCTTGCTCTCTTTAGAGCTAACAGCTGCCCTGTGGATACTCCCCCATTCTGAGCTAAAACGGAAAAGGACCAATTGCTATGAATGGACAGTGACCATAAGCTTGATGGGATGACTTTCTGTAAGACAAACATGAGAAGCCCAAGTGAGAACACTTGGAAATGTTAAAGGCTCTAGTCAGAGGTCCAACATTTTATTGTCACAATAGCTGGAAGATATTCCTTCCCTACCCATATTATTCCTGTTAATGTCCTCTCATTCTCTAAAGCAGGGGTCAACGAATTTCTTCTGTAAAGGGCCAAACAGTATATATTTTAGGCTTTGTGGGCCATTTGGTCTGTCACAACTACTCACCTTTGCTTTGAGAGCATGAAAGCATCCAAAGACAACGGGTAAACAAATGGGTGTGGCTGTTTCAATATAACTGTATTTACAAAAACAAGCCACAGTTTGCCAATGCCTGCTCTAGAGGCAGTGGAGGGAAGGGGTCTTTAGTTGACGATAGCAGGGAATAAAGGTGGCATAGTGTGTAGTAGACGATGTAAAGATCAGAGTCAGTCACTATAAGCAGAGAGGGGAGCACTGCATCTTTTTCAGTTTAGAGGGGGCTACTCAATGAATATTTATTTTGGTTCACATTGATGTGAACATTAATGATTACCAGTGATGGCTGGGTCATATTAGGAGAACCTCAACTCCTGTGGTTTATCTAAAATGGGATAATTAATCCTGCAGTCTTTAGTATTTAAAATCTAACAATTTGACCTCAATTTTTTCTTAAGGACCTTTTTTCTTTGGGGGGGGAAAAACATACATTAATGATTTTAATATATTTTTTCATTAGGTAGAATTTTCCTTTTACCAGACTTAAATATTTAGAAGTTATTGGCAAAATTCTTCAGAAATCTTAAATTTCTGAGGGAGAAAAGATAATCTGTGTAGGTATAGATTACTTGGTGTAGAGAGAAGGAAAGCCTATCTTTTACCTGTTCCTTTCTCACTCAGTGCTAACATCCAGCAGCTGGCCTATTTATAAACATAATTCCTTTTTCACATATGAACACAAAATATTTAACTTTCTGATCTATATTGTTTATTGCTGTATCTTCCACACAACTTGAACAGTACCTGGGCACACAGCAGGTGCTCAGTAAATGTTGAATACGTGAGCATATCCAACAGGTGTTCTCGATGTAAAGGATCAGAGCCCATGCATGGTCAGCACAGGAATAGCTGATGCCACACATTCACCCTGATGGGTGAGTTAAGAACCTTCCCAAAGTGGGACAGACAATCCTTCCACGTGAGAATGACAGGAAGGATTTGTACCCCTGGATATTCAGTAATTGCTTCTAGGAGAAAAGGTAGCGCCCTGTCACTAGGCTGCAGACATTTGGCACGTGGCTGGAGAATGGGATATTTGTTTTGAATCTTCTCTTACAGACTTGGGAATGTGGTGGGATTGGCTTATTTCACTTTATGAGTCAGAAATTCTCACATCCCGAAACTACAAAAGAGAAAAAAGAACCTCATTAAATATCATGCTTTCCCAAGATTGTCTTCAAAGAAATATGCATCAGGGCAACCTGTGATCTAGATATTGTCATCTTAAAACTCAGTTTCTTTTCTTTGACTCTTCCGCTAAAATCACTTAGAAAAAAAATCTGCTTGAGGATATTTTAGAGAGAGAAGGGAGGACAATAAAGTGATTTTTGAGTGGGAATGACACATACTTCTGAGAAGCCAACTACCACTGAATCTCACTATTATTTCAGTATTTTACCATGATGATGATTTTTAGTGGAAAATAATCTTCATTAAAATTATTAAAGATGGACAGACACCCCTTGTTTCTCTGACCCTTGTTTATAAAATGAGGGTGTTTGGACTAGATGATGGCTAAAGTCTCCTTCCAGCTCTGGAATTCTACAACTCATTAAAAAGTTACCAAAAAAAAAAAAAGTCTACTGAGTTCCCCAAGGGTTGTTCCTACCTGCCCAGAGTTCCACCAGCCTGGGTGTAGTATTTGTTATAATCCAGTCGTAACAGTAGTTGAGCCAGATCCGAGTTGATCTGATGATTCCGAACACTGGAGAGAATCTTGAATAGGAGTGAAGACTGGCGGCTAAAGCCCTGCAGAGAGAAGGACTCAGTTGTCTTTCCTCGTGAACTCATCAACTCTCCATGTGGAGGATGGGGGTGAGGGGCAGTGGAGGAAAGTTAGTTGGAAAAGCCTTGCTCAAAATTCTACAGAACCAACTGGTCTTCCCACATTCCCATTTCTATTAGCTCCTAAAATAACCTGACTTCTTAGTACCAACTCCACAAAATGCATGGACTGTTTCATCAATAGGAATTTGGCAGCTGGTATCCAATGAATGTATTCTGTCATGTACGGGGGCTGGGGAGAGCCTGTTTTGTTAAAGGCAGGTAATTACAATCTCAGTGAGATAGGGGGTTAGTTCAAGGAAATAAGGATGGGTAGGATGTGAGAAAGTGAGAACAAAGCCAATGCATGTTTGGTGGGCTGAAACTATTCAGGGCTGAACTATTTTTGAACACTGTGAGGCAGCACATTAATTATCTTCTTCAAAATCAACTGATACCAACATATCTTTTTATCTTGTTATTTCTGTGTATATGTCTTGAGGAAATGCTTTATTGACTCAGAGGGAAGATCATGAATTCTCCATTGGCAAAACCACCTCTATCCTTTGGATACTGCAAAGCTGCATACTTTCAACAGCCAGGCTGACTCGCCTTCACAAGAATGCTCAGCTGAGCGGCTCCACGCTCATCCAGGGGGCCCAGGTTCTGACTGACCAGCGAGCAAAAACTGTGACAGAGATCCAGGATTTCATTCAGGCAGTGAAACACCTATCCGGGAAACACAGTTACCATTAGGAAAAGAAAGAAGATACATCTGTGAAATTAAAGATCTGGGAAAATAGTCTTAATAGCTGACATCCCAATCTGACCTCAGGACAGACACGCACTGCCACTTGCAAGGCCTGCGAGCCCAAATGCAATACATGTAAAACAAACTCATCCCTTCCTGGCAAAGATGCTATTATTCTCTTAGTCACCCTTACACAAAACCTTGCTCTAGCCACATTAAACTAGTCATTTCTTAAACCCAAAGTGTGTTCCTGTCTCTGAGCTATGAGTGTTGTTCCCTGTGCCTGAGATACTCTTCTAATACCTGCAGGTCCCACTCTCCCAGTGCAGTGCTCCCTTCCCACTGGTGTAGCCTTTAGTGAGCCCCCACTTCTACATTATCCTATATTATGTTTACTTGGCAATTATTCAGGCCACCTGGGCTGATAATCATCTTTGTGTATATGTCTCGTTTCTCCAACTAGATTGTGAGCTCCATAAGGGCAGAGCCATGACTTATACCTCTTTGTATTTCCCGTGCCTTGCATACAGTAAGCACACAATAAATATTTAGTGATGATGACTTACTCTGATATTCTGCTTTTCCCCAAGGATGTACCCATGCCATACAGGACACTCTACCTGTCACAGTGGTTCTTGGTTGTTTTCAATTCATAGAACCCTTTGGAGTGGCATTCATACAACTCACTCTTCCTTAGTGCAGCAAAAATAACAGCCCCAGATAATAGACCAAAAAGAAGTCTGTAGAACTTGTGGTATGGTACACTGAGGAGTAACAGCTAGCTCACGTCAGAGCTAAAATACAACCATTACATTAGAAATCACAAGTGACCACTTCAATCTTCCTGTTTTTCATCCTGGAATTGGAGGCAGCTTCTGAGTTTTAAAAAATACTGATGCCTGGGTCCCATTCCAGAGATTCTAATTTAAATTCTCTGGGGCCTAGATTTTTTAAAGGTCCCAGATGATTCCAGTGCAGACAAGGTTGAGAATAATTGCCATAAAGGAGATAGATATGTATTTACAGATATACCTACATACATATAGAGAGAGACACTACTCTGGCTGCCTTTGAAAACAACTTTCAAATAACTGGTCAATCCTGGTCCAAAAGAGTTCTAAGAATGTGAACTCTTTATGCTTTTCTTTGTTTTTTCCTATAATGTCAGAAAGGTTTTTAAATTTCTTTAAATTCTTCCTTCTGAGGGTTAAGCAAATAATTCTTTAATCTATAGCTACTCATAGCTATAGCTACTATAATCTTATAGCTACTATAATAAATTATAGTTTATTAACACAACATCTTATGGTATAATATTTCAGACATTCAAAGACATTTCAGTTCCCTTTTAACGGTCCCTCTTAGTTTTGCTTTGTAAGTTGTTAAAAAACGTTTAAAAGTAGAGCTGAATAATTGCTTAATGATAGTTTCATATCCCATCAACTCAAAGTGCCTAAGGGAACAGTCAGTGCTAGAAGCAATCTGAAGGAATCAACCAGCCCTACTTACAGGTTTCAACAAGATAAAGGACTGAGCCAGCAAATTGCTCAGGAAGTGGTCGTGAGCCAACCGGATGCTTTCAAAGTCTCGGGTAGAATTGATTTGATGAAGCAGCTGTGAGAACTGAGACTCCAGCACATCTACCTGATAGACAGTCACACGAATAGTTTTAGCACCTTGCATATTCTAAGCACTCAAAGACATTAAGAGGCCTGATAGGATGAAATAGAAATTCTTTGCTTATTTTCTTTCTAACCGAGCCATTTTAAGGCTGTCCAAAGATACCCTTATATTGCCCAGCTTTGTAGGAATAATTTGCCTAATTCTTAATCACCTGCAGTGTCTTGGCAGACCACTCTCCCCTATCTGAACCTAATCCACTCATGCCATGTCCCTCCACTGACTGACTTGGTTAAGTCCTGTAGGATTCCAGACATTATAGCAAACAATAAAAACCAGGGGCAAGTGAACAATAAATAATAGATTCCTGATAAGGATCCTAACTCCATATTCCCCTTCATCCATTTATTTCCATTTTTCTCCAACATGCCCGTAAGAAACATGCCTCGTGATAAAACTCCTGAATTTAGTGTTTTGCCAAAAGGAACGGTAGTTCCCCTTCAATATCCGTCTGCCAACCTCCTAGACTTTTTTACACCCCTACTTTCTACTCATCCCTCAGCACAGACCTGGAGATAGTACTGAAGATTATCCACCAAGAACGCCATGTGATTTCTTAGGCGCCACTTGACCGCATCAGTCTGGTTGGACTTGAGGTGCTTGCGCTGCATCTGTAGGGCCCAGCAGTGCTGTAGCTCGGCTTGCACCCGGCGCACACTCAGTAGGTACTTGAAAACAACATTGTACCTATGACAGAAACCTCAGGCTATTCAAGATAAAAACTTTACCCCCACGTCGCCCTACATGACAGACCCTAGGACTTTGTGCTGCCCACCTCCCCTAAAAAGGCAGGAAGGAATGAAAAATGGCTAGAGATGTGGACAAATAAATTATAATTTATTTATGGAGGGAGTATTATATAGTAGTCAAAATGAATGGATTTCAGCTATACGACACAACAAAACTCTTAGCAATATGATTTTTGAATGAAAAAGGTAAATTGCAAAAGATTACATAGAGCATTTTTTATAATTCTCAAAACAACTAAAAGCAAAATAAAACTTTGGGGGAATACGTCTAGATGTAAAACTACAGAAAAAGGAAAGAAAGATGGAATTCATGGTAGTGGTCACTATGGGTTGGGGAAAGCAAGGGGACAAGACTAGGAAGGAACACGTAAGTGGATGGACATTGTTGTCAGTGTTCTAGTTTTTGTGCTGGGAAGTGGTTTTGAGAGAGAGAGAGAGAGAGAGAGTGTGTGTGTAGGAAGGAAGGAAAGGACTTCCGTGAACCAATAATAATAGTGTTTTATCAATCAAGGATTATGATGACTCTGATTCTTTGTCCCCGAAGCCCAAAGATAAAATACCTTCTTTAATGAGATCAGACTCCTGCCTCCCAGTAAGCTTGGGGGCTAACTGCTTAATGCTGGGACGCTGTACTGAGATGGGAAGAGCAGCTGATTCCTGGTAGAACTGTATCTTTACTTATTTGTAGGCAGGTTTGCAGAAGACAATCCAATACCATTTTGTTTTAAAGATTATCTATTTCTAACGGAACAAACATAGTGAAATAACAGACCTTGTTTAGATACTGATTTGAACAAACCCAATCATAAAAATATTTTTAGATAATTGGGGAAATTTCAGTGTAGACTAGGTATTAGGTTATAAGGGATTACTGTTAATTTTATTAAGTGTGATAATGGCATTGTAGTACTTATGTTTAAATATCCCTTTTTCAATTGCTTAGTGGCAGAGTGAAATGACATGTGTGGGATTTGCTTTATAAAGCTCCAGGAAAAAAAAGAGGGGGCGGGCAGGGGAGAGGGATAGATGAAACAAGTAGCATAAAGGTGGTGGTTACTGAAGGTAGGTAATGAGGACATGGGAGTTTGTTATAGTTTATACTTAGAAATTTTCCTAATAGAAAGTTAAAGAAAATACTTCTAAACTTGATTTCTTCAACGGTGTTAAGAGCACATCAAGTTAGGAAGTAAGTACACTGTTGGCCTGTGGGATGCCGAGAGCTGTGGAGCTTTGGAAGCTCTTTGGACAAGGTCCATGCAACTTGCTTAGCTGGACCATTGGCTCTGAACTTGCCATATAATCTTCTCTCTGAATGAGCCTCATCTTGTCAGGTTTATGCCCGGTCTATCGTACCCTAAGCTTCTCTACCCTCAAAAATGTAGAGAGGGCTGTGAAGAGAATCAGGAAGGAAGAAGAGTGGTGGTTGGAAGAAGAGACAGCCCTTTTGTTCATTTGCTTCCCTTTTCTCCATTCTTTTAGCATCACTGAGCATGATAGCTTTTATCCTCCAAGTAGGCCAGTAGCCAGTTCTCTAACCAGGAATAGGGTTTCGGAAGTTCCTAGAAACGGTGTGGGCATGGATTTCAGAGGCCACCACCAGCCAAGTATGCTTCTTCCACCTCCTTTCCATAGATCTCCGGTTCCCCCTGGTTTGGGGATATTAGATACTGTCAGGCCAAGCAACAGCACTTGGCAGGCCCTTGTGATAAAGAACAAGGCTGATGTAATAGGAAGTCTCATACTACCTTGGTCTAATTCCTTTATTCCATCCCCCCAGCTTGGCTGCCCCTGTTGCCTCTCCCTAGGGGTAAGGAGGTGATCTCCCCAGTGGCTAATATCCACAGCAAACATTTAGGCTGGAAGACTTTCTCAAGTAAATCAACAGAAAGTTATAAAAGTTAGGCAGCAATCTTGTCAGGTCTGATAGAATCTTTAAGGGCCAGACTCTTAATGTTGTGCCTGAGACCTCCCTCATCTTTTTGAGTATATGCCCAATCTCATTTTCCAGAGCTCACAAACTGGCAGCCTACACGTTGCTTGTTACTTGGCAAATTTTTTTTAAAAATTATGATGGTTTTAAGCAGGTATATACCCTCCTGTTCATTCCAGCACCCACCATTCCCTATGTCTCACATCTGTAGTTCACTTATTAATGTGATCAGTCTAGTCCTTGAAGGCGTAAAAGTTTGTAACTTCTGATTTACAGATTGTTAAAAACTGGGTGGGTGGCTATCTTGCTCCCATTAATTCTCTTCCTGATAACTTCTTCCCTTGGAAGTAAGGGAAGTAGTATTTACCTGTGAGAATCTCAGAAATACTCACTTTTCCAGGACAGCTGGGGTGAAGAGAATGTGCAGTGGCCACTGTACTTTGTAGGAAAGACCTAGGGCTGCCCAGCCAGATGCAGGGGCTTCCCGGGGAGAAGTTTCTCGAGAAGGCCCTTCTCTTGCCTGAGTAGCATCTGCTATGATCAAGAAAAGAAAAGGAAAGAAAAAAAGACAACTTGGTTAATCCAGAACCAGAGACTCCACAAGGCGAATAACATTCACGAGAGCTCACTGGGAGGCAGAGAAACTTCTATGAGGTTCTTTTGGAGATCTTTCAGAGATTTTTGTTTTGAACCTTAAAGTCTAGAGGCTGGAAAGAAATAAACAGGGACCATTCCAGCAGCATAACAACAACAAAAAAACCCAAAACAAAAAAATATGGCCTGGGCATCTCAATTTGGACTTCTGGACTTCCTTTTTCTTCTGTATAAAATTATAGTACCGTACCAGATCATTTCTAAGGTTCAAACTTATATGGTTTCTGTGGAGGTAGATGGAAGCAGAGATGAGAAAATGGATGATGTCCAGTAGCAGCAGGTAAGAATGGCAAACCTTTGTGCTCCTTTCCATGATACTCAATTGTCAAGTGCAACAGAGGGAGAAGGTTGTCATCATCTAGCAACACCTTGTGTGCCGACTGTTGAAAGGCTACGTTCACATCTGCAAGAAAGAACAGATGGGCAGACAAGAATGCTTTGCTGCGTAACAGATCCAGACTCCTCCAGCTTCCACTTCTCCCCCAACCTGCCTAACACTAATAGCAGGATGCAGTGGACATCTGTTGCTTTTGCATGACTAGCATTCATTCTTCCTTTTCTTCTTACTAGTAACAGGTTTTCCTTGGAGAATCATCCATACTCAGTATAGTTCGTGTAGTTCCAGTGGGGTAGTTGTAGAGATAATACCTGATTCTAGGGGTAGGCAGGTGACCTAGGCATGATCAAATGAAATGTAATACTCTACTAATTTGTTTAGGGACAAATTGACCATGACTCAAGCCAGGCTAATCCAGAGGCCCTATTCAGACTCTAAAACGTACAGCTCTCTTTTTTAGAGATAAACAAGGACTTAGTAGGATGTAAACTTAGCTGGAGGCTATCTTGCTACCATATAGAGCAGGCCCATCTGAGAAGAAAGGCAGAGGCGAAAGATGGAGAGACCAAGACCTAAAGGTGTTATGTGAGCTGCTGGATCAAACTTTGCCTAAAGCCATCATACCTCTGAGCTTTTCAGTTATGAGAATCAATAAAATTTTTCTTTCCTTTTTTTTTCTTTGCTTAAGTGAGTTTGAATTAGGTTTTCTGATATCTGCAACCAAAAAAGTAGTATATAAGCACAGTGGACATCTATTGTTTTACTGAGCTGGAAAAACAATCACCCTGTGTTTGTGTATTTTCTCTCTCCCATTTTCTTTTTCTGGCTCAGATCCTCACCCAATTCTGTTCATGTAGTTTGAATGGGAATGACCATCAACTGATTTACCGAACTAGGCATATCCTAGTGTCTGACCTCTGTCACTGATACAGGAATAAGCATGTGATCTGAGCTGGGCCAATCAAAACCTTTTCTCTAGAATTCTTTAACTCACTACCAGAGAGACTGGGTTTGGTTCCTCACTGTGAGGCACGTTCCTGGGAGCTGCTGGTGGCCATGTTTCCAGATGGGACTGAAGGTCATCAAAGAGTACGTAAGAGACACAGGTCAGATATGATGAGAAAGAGAGAAAGACTCCTAACAGTATCCAAGTCCCTAGTTTCAGTTGTTCTGAGGCTTAGCTATACCCCTATCCCACTAGAATTTCAGATATAATAGCAAATAAGTTCCCCTTTCTAACTAGGCTAACACAGGTTAGGTTTCCATCATTCACACCTAAAGAATTCTAATATATCACTGCAAGTGGCAGTAAGTCCCAATATGCCCCATAAGGTATATATGGCTATAATCTGATGATATAAAATACCTGCTTTGAAGACCTGCACCAACTCTTCCAGGGAGGATCACAGGCCAAGATGCTGTTCCTAATGACCTCAGTGTGCAGCCTACCTGAAAGGGCCTTCCATCTTTGGAAATCACTGCTCTGTAGCTCACCAGGTTCCTCTTATGAGGAGTGGGCCTTAAAAGGGTCAGCAGCAGCCAAGAAATACCCTGAAACTTCAGTAAGTTGGTCATTCTCAGGGCCACAGGTAATTACCATGCTCAGTTACTGCAGTGGGTGGTGTTTTTAACATGTGTTGAGCTGTGTCAATGAAGGCCTGAAACAGTTCTCCACGTCCCAGAAGGTAAAAGTCTTTAATGATCTGAGGAAAGAATTTCAATTTACAATTCAGTAAAGCAGGGCCAGGAGCTCCTCACTATCCTGAGGGAATTACACATACACATTGCCAATCTCATCAATTTGAGCCCAGCCAACAGAAAGATGAGGCATTTGGGATTTCAAAGAGGCATACTTAGCAGTTCCACACAGCAGGATGATTGGTGTGTATTTGGTATCATTTCTTCAACAGCAGCATAATTATATTATGCCAGAAGAAAGTAAACTCCCAAATCTTTGTATTATAGTAGATCTGTAGCATTAGGTATAGTCTGCTCACTTGGATAAGAACAAATGAGTCCACTCTGGAAGTCTGGATATAGCCAACTGTTGCTCTCCAGAAAAGGTTACAAAGTGTAAGTCATTGCCCAACAGCATTATTTTAAGAATTAAAAGAACAGCTATTACCTTCAGCTGACCCAGTAAATCTGACTCTTCTACCATCAACTTCCAGAGATGCTGTGAAAAGAACCAACAAAACAGGGACAAAATTTCATTACAATGAAAACTCCAGCAAAGAATGGTTCTGTACAAATCCAGCAATATACTGAAAAAAGAACATACCTTCCACCACATAGAAAAATTAACTCAAAATTATTATAGACCTAAAGGTAAAACTGAAAACTATAAAATTTCTGGAAGAAAGCAGAGGAGAAAATCTTTGAGACCTTGGGTTAGGCAAAGTGACACAACACCATAAACATGATCCGTAAAAGGAGAAAAAAAAAAGGTAAATTAGATTTCATCAAAATGAACAACTTCTGTTCTTTGAAAGACACCATTAAGAGAATGAAAAGACTAGTCATAGAATGTGAGAAAATATTTGTAAGTCACATATCTGAAAAAGAACTTATTATATCCAGAATATATAAAGAACTCTCAAAATTCAATAGTAAGAAAACAAAAAACCCAATACAAAATGGGCAAAGTAGTACATGAAAAAATGTTTAACATCATTAGTCACTAGGGGAATGCAAATTAAAACTACAATGAGGGGCCAGGGCGGTGGCTCACGCCTGTAATCCTAGCACTCTGGGAGGCCAAGGCGAGCGGATCATTTGAGCTCAGGAGTTCGAGACCAGCCTGAGCAAGAGCGAGACCTCGTCTCTATGAAAAATAGAAAGAAATTAATTAGACAACTAAAAATACATAAAAAAAATTAGCCGGGCATGGTGGCGCATGCCTGTAGTCCCAGCTGCTCAGGAGGCTGAGGCAGAAGGATTGCTTGAGCCCAGGAGTTTGATGTTGCTGTGAGCTAGGATGACGCCACGGCACTCTAGCCCAGGCAAAAAGAGCGAGACTCTGTCTCAAAAAAAAAAAAAAACAAAACTACAATGAGGGACACAATTCAAATGTCTATCAGCAGATGAATGGAGAAACACATTGGTATAAACAATGGAATACTACCAAGCAGTAAAAAGAATAAACTATTGATAAATACAACATGGATTCACCTCAAAATAATTATTCTGTGTAAAAGCAGCCTGATCCCCTTCCCAAAAAGAGTACATATATTAATCCATTTTTATAAACTCTAGAAAATGCAAACTAACCTATAGTGACAGAACTAGCAGATCAGTGGTTACTTGAGGACTGGGAGGCAATAAGGGTGGGATAAAACCAAATAGGCTGAAAGTAAAGGACAGAAGAAGATATAAGGTAAATATCCAAAAGAAAGCTGGACAGTGATCTTAATAACTAATAAAATGGAATTTAAGACAAAAAATGTTTTATATATATAACATATATCATAGATGATACAAAGGATATTATGTGTAAATGAAAAGAAAAACAGAATATGTATTTATTATAAATATGCACATGCTTAACATATATCCTCCTCAAAATGAACAATTAGAACTCTACACTCGACACGGAATATATATTCTCTGGGCACATGCAGAACAGTTAAACACCAGACCCTGTCCATAAAGAAAGCTGCAATAGATTCCAAAGAACCAATATGTTTTCTAACTATAATGCAAGAAAATTAAAACAATGAATTCCTTGGTTAAAAAGAAAATCATAAAGAAAATTAAGAATTATTTAGAACAGAATGATAATGAAAACACTACATGCCAAAAATGTGTAGGACATAGTCAAAGCAATGTGTAAGTTTTATATACACTTCTCCAAAAATAAAGGAGTCAAGCTTTCAACTTAGAAAAAGAGTAACTCAAAGAAACAAGACGGAAGAAAATAATAAAGAGAAAGGCAGATATCAATGAAATAGAGAATTAAAAAAAGAATACGCTGGGTGTGGTGGTGTGTGCCTATAATCCCAGCTACTTCGGAGGCTCACTTGAGTCCAGGAATTCGGGGCTGCAGTGTGCTATCATCAAGCGTGTGAATAGCCACTGCACTCCAACTTGAGCAACATAGTGAGACCTCGGTCTCTTAAAAAGAAAAAAAAAGAATAAAAACAAAAGCTGGTTCTTTGAAAAGATTAATAAGACTAAACAATAAAAAAGAGAAAACTCAGATAAACAAAATGTAAAATAAAAATAAGCATAGACAGCAGACATTTTTTAAAAAATTAAATCTAGATTAAATGGGTAAGTTCCTAGAAAATACCAAAACTGGTACAAGAAATAAATGTTTTATATAGATAGGTTTTTTTTTAAAGCTCTATTTCACTTTTTTATTTGAACTTTTTCTTTCGACTAAGTTATTTATGCATAACACGTGTGTTGTGAAACAAAAAAATAAGCGAATAGAATGAAAATGAAAATCTCCTTTCACTACTTCACACATTTATCATTCTTCCCAGACATAACTTCTGATATCAGGTGAATGAATGTCTTACAGATCTATTCCAATGTTGAAAATGCAGATATGTATGTATATAATCTTTTTTTTTAGCTGATTGTTAGTAAACATAGGTTTTTTTTTTTTTTTGGTACTTTCAGAATATTACAGTGGTACAAACGCTTTGGTTACATAAATTGCTTTTGTACCGCCAGAGTCACAGCTACAAGCATGTCTATCCCCAAGACAGCATGCATAGCACCTATTAGGTGTGAATTTACCCATCCCCTCCTCCCCACTCCCACCTGCTGGGCACCCAAATGAATGTTACTTCCATATGTGTTTATGTGTTGATTGATTAGTACCAATTTAATGGTTAGTGCATGTGGTGTTTGTTTTTCCATTCTGGTGGTACTTCACTTAGAAGAATGGTCTCCAGCTCCATCCAGGATAATACAAGAGGTATTAGTTCACCATTTTTTTTTATGGCTTAGTACTCCATGGCATACATATACCACATTTTATTAATCCACTCACGTATTTATGGGCACTTAGGTTGTTTCCACATCTTTGCAATTGTGAATTGTGCTGCTATAAACATTCAACTGCAGATGTCTTTATTATAGAATGTCCTTTTTCCTTTGGGTAGATGCCCATAGTGGGATTGCTGAATCAAATGGTAGTTCTACTTTTAGTTCTTTGAGGTATCTCTATATTACTTTCCACAGAGGCTGCACTAGTTTGCAGTCCCACCAGCAGTGTATCAGTGTTCCTGCCTCTCCGCGTCCACACCAACATTTATTGTTTTGGGACTTTTTGATAAAAGCTGTTTGTGTTCAAGCAGGTGGGAGGGGGAAGAAGGGGATGGGTAAATTCACACCTAACAGGTACAGTGTGCACTGTCCGGGGGTTGAGCACACTTGGAGCTCTGACTCGGGTGGTGCAAAGGCAATATTTGTAACCAAAGCATTTGTACCCCCATAATATTCTGGAAAAAAAAGAATAATATAGGAAGAGAAGAGTATAGTCTTATTTTACTAGTGAATGTTAATGTAAAAATTCTAAATATTGTATTGGCTAACCAACTCTAACAGTATATTAAAAAAAGAAACATCACAATCAAGTAGGGTTTATCCTAGAAGATTTAACATCTGAAAATCTAACTAGGAATTTATCATATAAATAGACTCAAGGGGAAAAGGAACCCAGAGCAAGAAACCACACCTTAAATTGACATAGAAAAAGTTGATAAAATTCAACGTCTATTTATGGTAAAAACTCTTAGCAAACTAGGAATAGGAGAGAAATTTCTTTAACTTGATATATGTGTCAGAAGCCTACACTAAATATTATAATAATGGAGAAACTTTATATGCATTATCTCTTTTCTTTTTAATTATTATGGGTACATAATAGTTATATATCTTTATAGGGTATATGTAATGTTTTGCTACAGGCATACACTGTGAATTAATCAAACCAGGATAATTGGGGTATCCATCACCTCAAGGCATTTATCATTTCTTTGTATGAGGAACATTCCAATTCTACTCTTTCAGTTATTTTAAAGCACACCTTAACTCCTTGTTGCTTATAGTCACTTTGTTGTGTTATC